GAATATTATTTAATAGCAATTAAATATTATTAAATATATAATTATTGAATTATTAAATATTCATACATATTTATAAATTTAATAACGGGAAAAAAGTTGCTAAGAATATAAAATTGACATTAATCAATAATTTATTATTGGCTTCGAAATGCTAATAAATATGTATTTTTTTTAAAAGCAAATAAAATATAATTTGTGTTTCACATTGCAAAAATATTTTGATTATATTTAACGTTACATTACAGAAGATATTTCATTATCATACATTAGTATTATTATTAGTTATCATATATGTACATAAATTCTATGATTTTATTTCTATTTAATTTATGATATCATTAAATTGCAAATCAATATGAAAATACAATTAGACGTGTGTAATTATTAATATTACAAAATCAGATCGTAAACATGATCTCATTAAAAGTTCCTTTTTTATACGATTTTGAACGTATTTATAAATCGCTAATTGTCACATCTTCTTTCAAAAGAATTTTACGTGACATAACAATTAAATCAGTTCCGTGTTAACAAATTATGCATAAATCAGCACTAATTGTTTTGATTATAACAAATTGTATATATGAAAGTTACACGTTTCGTAAACTATTCATCGACGTCAAATGCAAAAACAATAACGAACATATAAATTCGGTAATAAAGTTTTTCTTTCCTTGATACAAAGTCAAATGCTTCATCATATAATGCTTGAACGTATCTTCTTGTAGAAATTGTGTCTTTGCTTGAAAGTGTTAAATCTAATTCCGCCGAATTACATTAACTTTGAAGGTGAGATCTATATGTACCATCATACACATTTTATTTTTTTTAATTTTATCTCTTAGAAATCTCTTATTGCACACAATTTTTATAAAAGTTTTTTCTTTATTATAAAATTCTCAAATTAATATTACATTATAACGCTTTTGTTTGTACGATAAAAAAAATATACAGAATCGTTTTGTAAAGATTAAAAACAAGATTTATATCGCATTATCACTGACAACTATGAAATGTGGATTGACGAATGGTTTTAACTTTGTAATTATATTTATATTATTTGTGTGTATTAACTATAACCAATAATTGTAACATGTTTGATTTATCGTTTCACATCTAACAATTTTTAAAATATAATTTACGTTTATGATTTGATGTTTTAAATATTTCGTTACTGACATCCTAAGTGTGACTGTTTGCTTCTTTATTTATAATTTATGCCATGTTGTGATTTTAAAAACAAGAGTTAATTTTCTATTAACTATCTTCTATTTTCATTTGCATTTTATTAAAAATAAATTAATGAATGAATCTTGAAATAATTAACAAAAGAATTGAAGAATAATCTATTATAATTTACATAGAATAAGTTGTTACAGAGAGGATCGCATAAGAGATGAGATTCACATTTGTACTATTGTGTAGTATTGTGTTCTCTGGACTCGTTTCAGGAAAAGAATATTATTCAGATACATATGATAATATAGATGTGGATGCGATTATTAACAGCGATCGTCTTTTAAATCAGTATGTGAATTGCTTTCTCGATAAAGGTTCCTGCACCGCTGATGGACGCAGTTTTAAAAGTAAGTATACATTGCAACTTATGTTTTATTTCAATATATTGCAATAATTTTATACGTATCGCATTTTTTATAAGATAAAAGGAAGAAAAAATTGAAATAAAAAAGAAAAAATATAACAAAAGAAAATAATAATTGATATTCAAATATGATCCACGAAATATTATATATATATTTATACATTGAGATAAATGAATTTCTTGATTTATTTGTAGATATTCTCCCGGATATGATACTCACATCTTGCGAAAAATGCACCGAAAAACAGAAATACACAGCAAGAAAAATAATCAATTATATGAAGGAACATAAATCAAATATTTGGGCAGAGTTTGTCGAAATGTATGATCCTGACAAAGAGCGTATAGCATCTCTCGAGCAATTTTTGATAGAAGATCAAATGAAAGATTAATCTCTTTTTCTCTCTTTATTGAATTTTTTCAATAACAGTCAAATAATTGAGCTTAAATAAAAGCATATATTTTATAATAACGTTAAATTCTGATTACATTCAATATTAATCTACGTATTCGATTATTTATGTTTTAATTTAGTCTTATTTAATTTAGTCTTATCAAACCTATACAATAGCAATTAATGTCATCAATCAATCAATAGCTGAATATGAGAAGAAACACTTTCTAATGTTAATTCTTACATGGCAAGATATTTACATGTTTGAAAAGACAATCTTAAAAATATTCAAATTCTGAATCAACCTTAATAATATTTATACAAAACATTTGAGAGAGCAAGTCTCCAATAAATTTCCCATATCGGTATTGTAATAATTCTTTCTGTTTTTCCCACGTTCCCAGTTCCTGTGAAATAAAAATAACTGTTAGATTTTCAAGTTAGACTACTCTTAAAGTATAAGTTACAATTTTCATTTCCCGTATTAACGTATAAACTTCCAAATTGTTGAATGTTCTTAAAGTATAAGTTAGAATTTTGTTTCACATATTAGCGTATATATATCATGCATATTTTTTAATTATTTCAAATTGACATTAACACTATATTAAAATTATCAATTTATTTTTTAAAAACTAGACAGTTTTATTCCGATTATCAAAATAAAATTTGACTTTTTTTTATATATATAAAAAAAGAAAGTTTTGCATATAAACAAAACTCAAAATGTATACCCAAATTTTATATTCAAAAATACATATGTATGTTCTCGAATTAAATTCTTATATATGTGTGTAAGTGCATTGTGTGTGTGTGTGTGTGTGTGTGTGTGTGTGTGTGTGTGTGTGTGTGTATAATACTTAATAATTATAAAAACATTATTACATTTCCAATTTCACAAACGTCCATATCCGATTGCGAGAGATTCTGGGAATTACAGTCGATATTATCAATCCACATAATCGGTTCTTTAGTACAATTAGAATTTGTATCCTCACAACCCATTATAATATGTATTCTGTAGATTGTGTGGCTATTGTTTGGCTAAAAAAGATTTTGTAAAGGAAATTATATAAATTATTTTGCGATAAAATATTTAATAAAAAACATTTTACATACGGAGTTTTATATATAATATATATGTATATTTGTCATTCCAAAATTTGATTATATGTGTTATATATTTTATAATTGTGTCTTGTTTGAATGTATAAATACAATTATTAACAGGTACCTCTTTGTAAGTAACATTACATGAAATTATTTTCATGTTGTTTTTCCATTCGAAAATTGTATTTGTCAAAATCCATTGGTCTGGATCGCAAGATTCGAAAGTACCTCGAGTCTGAAAACAAAATTAACAGATACAATACTTTATATGAATATTATTGATCTTTGTTTTTGACAGGTTATGATGTGTCTGTAGTTGTGCAGTTTTAGTAGCAGTAACATGATGAATAGGAAACGTTAATTTCAAAACATAAAATAAGAGGAAGATAAAGAAACTTGATTGAATTATTTTTTAATGTATCTCCCTGCTGATTGCTACATTCGCTATTGAATCAGATTATTCGCATCTTTACTAATTTTTTATTAATTATTGAGAGATAAAGTTATAAAAAATTAATAAAAAAAATTTTTTATTTAGGCCATGTTCCGATATACTGTCAATACTAAAAATCTATAATATATATAATGTAAACTATAAATTGTCAGTACTGATAGTATATTAGAACTTTAGATTTTATGTATCTGTTCATTAGAACTAAATTATCAAACCTGTATATACAATAAAGTTATATATTTACGTATATGTATAATATATAACAGAAGTTAAATGTAGGCATTTTTACGACTATTTATTGATTGTCAGGAAGGGCAAGCACAGTTTCGGTTCGAATGTTTTAAAACGATTTCATTTTGTTTTACTCAAATTTTCTTTATTTACAAATAGCTTGCCAGAAACTTTAATATATTATTTCTTGCTTTATTATAACATTCAATATGGCCGTAGCACCTACTCAGGATTCTTAAGGGATAAAAATATTGAATTGGAACAAAAGTTTGTAGCATAAAATCTAAACAGTTGTAACTTTGTTAAAAAAGAACAAAATTTAAATTTAAACTACTTTCGAAAAGTCACTATGTCTTTTAAGTTTCTGTGAATTTGATAATTTCCCTGATAGCAAACTATGTCATTTCTTTGTCATTTTGACATAAAAAAATATCATTTTGACGTTAGCCTTCTTATCAAGGTTCTACATAAGAAAACTATAAGCTAGACACAAAATAAGAAATTTTCCTCTCGTTTCATCTGTCACGTGCTCAAAAAGAATTTATGAAAATTTTTTATTTTCTAACGTAAAAACTTAAAGTTTTCTTTACAAAATCGTTTTTAAAAATTTTTTAAAGATTTTTTATTATTAAATTATCGCAGATTAAAAGGAGCATCTCGAATTTAATCGCTCATAATTACAAAATAATCGTACTGCAATTAAAAAAAAAAACAGATCTTAAAGCTGAAACTTTTCTTTATCGAATGGTATAATTGCCCAATTTAAAAAAAAAAGCAGTAGATATAAATAAAGTAGCACTTCAAACTTTATTCAATATATGCATAAGCGTGTAACATTTTAAATTTCAAGGCTTGAGATAATATTATCTCAATAATATTGCTAATTATAGATAATATTGCTAATTACAGAGATAATATTGCTTCTTTGAAAATTTTAGATTTACATATTATAAAAGGCTCAAATAAATTTTGATAATATTTAATAGTTTGTATAAAATAATATTTTATACTATATCCAATATTTTCTATAAAAATCTTATAAACATAATTATACACATAAGTATTTAAAAAAAATATATATTTTATAGCAGTCAATTTCTATAATTTATAAAGAGTAAACATTATCAGAGCATACATTATCTTATATTTTTGTACAGCAATTTTCTAAATAATTTTACAAAATGCAAAATTAATCTGCTTTTTTATTTTTGTAATAAATCGATAAAACTAAAAATATTGTTATAATTCAAGCATTATAAAATAGAAATATGATCTATTTCATACTAAAATTCAAAATATTTGGAGTAGAATTTAATTCTAAAGAATGACAATTAAATCAGTGACAATTAAAAAAGCTCAATTATTAATTTTTAATGAGTGAGATTTACTCTTTAGAGTTAGATTATATTCCAAAGATTTTAGAGAGTAGTATAATTACTTACGAATTGTATCATTGTCATGGCCGATGTTATGAACAAAGAACAAATGAATATTACGCAGCTAAACTTCATTTTGCGATAGAATCTGTTGATGAATATATATAATGAATAAATTGGTTCGATAGTTTTTTAAAAATAATTGTGGTCTATTTGTCAGGTACATGCATGATTATTTATATCTCAAGAATACATAATGACGCTATTAAAATATTATACTTCTTCGAATTCTTCTTCTGTTAAATAAAAATGATAATTAATATGAAAATATTAGTGATATAGCTGAGAAATTTCATTATTACATATTCTACTATAAGTAAAAACGATTAAAGGATTAATGAATAATATTATATTTAACGATCTAATTATAAAGGATTATATTTTTAAATTTTAAGACATTTTGTAAATATTTTAAATAAATACAATTAAATAACAAATTTTTGCTGATAATTTTTTGTTACATAAATTTTAACAAAAATATATTTTTCCATTTTCGTTGCCTTGTTACATCATAGAAAGTTGTTGTCTAGATATGCTTATGATATTAACCCTTTCAAAAATTACAATCTTAAAGACAATTTTCATTCAAATAAATCACTTCTACAATTATATATAATATATAAAATTGATTTTCATTCTGCATTCTAACAAATATAAATCATTTAACAAATTTTTATTTCATGTAAACATATGTTTATAATCTTTATAACGGCGCATGTCATTTTTTTCTTATAACTTGTATATTCCAAATTAAAATTTTGATGTTATATGATTAATAAGAATATATTAAAACCGATATAATTTTCTTACCTGCAATGTGCAAGTTATTACTCGAATGACAAAAGACACACTAATGTTTTCCGATATATTGTTAGAACTAAAGATCCATAATTCACGTTACGTGTATTATAGATTTTCAGTGCTGGCAGTGTATATCGGAACATGGCCTACAGATACAGCGCACAGTCAAATAAGAAAATTATGATAAGCATTTTGTGTAGTTAATTTCTGACTTAGTCACCTTTAATATTAGCATTATGAGTCACAAACAACAGGAAAATTTTTAAACTTTGTAAGATTTAGATATTACAATTAAAACTTTCCTATATATTTTCCGATTAATATCAATTTTGGATTGCAATATTCAGTAAATAGATTTTATTCAATTGTCACTATAAATATCTACAAATTTTTAATTAAAAAAAAGGATTTAATAATTACATTATTTTTAAAAACATATTCCTGTTTATCTTTATATCCATACATTCTTTCTCCTCCGCACATAATAGATATCTTTAAATCCGAAAATATCTGGTCACCTTAATTATAAGTCAAAGGCTGCATTTGGGAAGCGCGTTATTAACACTATTTTATATTATTATATTCTTATTTTTAGTAAATTATAAAAATAAAACAAGAAAGAGATAAAATAGCTTCAGCATAAAGCAAACTTTTAATTCTTTGATAAAGTATTATATGTATAACCTAAAATGTATAATATTTATCCTTGTATATTTAATACTTCATCAATTTCGTTGAAACTATTTATCTTAGCAAATGTAGGAAAATATTAATAAATCAATTATTACTTTATTTTAATTTACTATCAAACAATATGCAAATATACCGAATATTATGTGTTCGATGTTTTCTACACAGAGAAAAAGCTGATTTTTTGAATTTAATAAATTTTATTGTATAACAAATTTTATTGTAGATAAACCAATGTTTGAATCAATAAGTACAATTATTTGAATTTAAAACAATGTATATCTTCTTCTTAAATACATTATTTGTTTGAACAGATAATGTCTATCTTCAGCATTTGCGCGATCAACTACAGCATAAACATAATTGAGCGTATAACACTGTTCGTTCAATTTTATTGGAACCATATAAACCATTGTTTCGTCTGTAATTTCGTCTAAAAAATGTAAATAGTTGTTTTAAAAAAGCAATAATTTGTATCAATAATTTCTATCAATATATTTTGTTATTTTCAAATAAATAATTTGTTTCATTGTTCATCGTATTCAATGTAATCAAATAATATATTATTTGGTTGAAAGATATTACTTCAAATAATAATGTCATTTCTGTGAAATAATAGAGGAATGAAACAACAAAATTTTTATTCAAATAAATAATGTCGTAATTTGTTTATATTTCTTCCAACTCGATTAGTGGAAAACAAAACACTGTATAATATAACTCATTTTCTGTAACTAATTTATGTTAATCACTTTCTTTGTTTTTCCAGCACGCTATTGTCTGAAATAAAAATAGTTCTTAGACTTTGTGCAGCGTATTTAAAATATAAAGAAAAAAGTAGATTTGTTTCTTTTACTTGTGTGTATGCTTTCTCTATTTCAAATATATAGTAATAATAACCTGACCTGTTCAGAAAGTCAAGAAACTTTATCTTCTCTCGGAAGATTAATAAAGCACAGTTACATCAATATAGCGCATTAAAACCGATTTAACTTCCAATAGCGAATTATTATGTATGAGAATAGATTATGTGGAACTTCTACAATCTTCATAATTTCTTTATTTTAATGGCGCGCAATGAAATAATAGAAAGAGAAAATGATATTAGTCGTAAGTAAAAATTTGAACTACTCTAACAATAAATTTATATCAATATCCTATTAGAATAATAAATTTAAATATTAAATAAATGAGATTTTGTCATTTATCCTAAATATTAAGATGAAAATTATGAATCTTTTTTACATTTAATGTCGGAACTACAGAGGAGGATGCTATTAAAAAGAAATTAATATTAAATTGTTAAAGAATGTTTAAAAAATGAAAATAACACACATTATATTACGCATTATATCTTCATAAATGCTTTATTTATATAATAATTATTTATAAGCGCATAAAGATAGACCGACTTACAGATATTCAAAACACAATTATCGAAAAATATCTTTATCTTGTATTACTTTCGTAGTATTTTATACGTAATATTTTATACGTAATATTTAATGCGATTTCATTTGCCTCAAATACTAGAGCTCAGCAAACAGCTAAAAAAATGATAAATTCAAATACAGCATTCGTAATTAAAAAATTTGCGAGCGCAATACATTTACTCATATATATATATGTGTTTGTGCATATTATAAAAATGTAATTATTAACAATTGTAATCAGAAACAGAAGTGAAGAATGGACATTAAATTAAAAGATAGATCAAGAAAGGAGCTTAGAAGAAAGGAAGAGAATGAATGTGAATATGTAAAAAAATAAGTGAATAGAAAAGTCCTTTTGTAAATAAAATTTGGATTTTAAGCCTTTTGATTACTAACTAAACATATATAGAAATGTAATTACATTTGCAATTTCACAAGCGTCCTTGTTTAATTGCGAGAGATTTTTGTTTTTGCAATCTTCGATTCTTCTGTGTTATCATAATACAATACAGTTATCATAATCCACAGTTAATTTCAATATCAATCGTGTATACTGGATAATTATCCTAAAAAATTTTTTTATTAAAGTATATACATTTTGCGATAAAATATTTTAACAGCATTTTTTATAAATAAAGTTATTACGTATATTTAGCAACTTAATCTTAATGTAAATATAGTATATAAGTAAATTTTTTCTCCTTGTTGTAAGTTATGTTATCTTCAATCTTTTTCGTCTCATTAATCTATTTAATTGTTACATTTGTAATTATCCAATCGTTTAGTCCGCAGTATTTATATATCTATGATTTATTTAAAAAAAGAAAGTTAATAAATTTCTTTATATCTTTGTAGTCCGCTTAATTATCTGACTTACTAGACTCTTTGATTATTATACGAATTTAGAAAAAGAAAATTAATGGATCATATAGAATAAGCCTTTTATAGATTTGTTCATACTTCTTGTAATTTCCAATAATTTTTGTTCTTAAAATAAGATAAATATTCTTACACAGTAAGAATATTTCCTATCCTATTCAAGAGACGTCGCATCGCAATGTCATAATAATGAAGTGCAACTACTTAAAACTTGCATATAAAATTATATATAATGAAACAATACAATAAAATCGTATTAATTATAAGTATATTTTCAAAATGGTTTCCTTAAATTTAAGTTTGTCTCAATAATATCTGTTTAATTAGATCAATATCATATATATTTTTGAGCAGTTAAGTTTTTATTTAATGACGCTCTATAATTTTAAATGTTCTTAAATGTAAAATGTTCGATTCTGAAATTTCGGGATTTATTACTATTACACAATGCTATTTTTTGCATTTTGAAAAATATATTGATCTAAAAATTCTTGAAATTCTAAATCGAGCAAAAAATGTACAAGACAAATAAAAGTCAAGTAAGTACAATACAAATTGAATCTATATTCTCATTTAAAAATATATAATAATTTAGATTCTTCAAAAGTCTTTTGACTTCTCTCTTTAAAAAAGGTGTTTTTTCAATATTTTATTTTAATTATTTATATCTAAAATATAATGACTGATCCACAGTTTTCTTCTTATTATTTATTTCTCCTTATAAGTTTTTTTACGACTCTTTATAAGTTTTAATTTATGATCTTAATTAAGTCACTTGACGTTGTAATCAGTGTTCATTCCAACGCATTCATTCCTTTAGAATCTATTTCTGCTTTTACTTGCTTTGAAAAACTGAAGATATGTAAAGATAAGGAATTGCATTCTCACTGAAAAGATATATATAGTTCGAAAAAAAACTGAAATATCAAAATTGTTATATATTTTTAAATAAGAATAGACTCAATTTTGCATCTTACTAACTATTATACACTTGATTTTTATATATTTCGTCATACTTTTCATTAAATTTTACATTTCAGTTTCAATTTCAGCTCAATAATTAAAAAAGAAATACATATCATATAATTTAAACATAACAAAATGGAAATATAATCTATTTCAAGTGTAATTACTTACTGAAATAATTACTTACAACACTTGAATTGCCATTGCCGATGCCATGACTACTAACCAAATAAATACTGCGTTAAATTTCATTTTGCGACAAAATCTGTTGATAAATACTTCTAATAAGTAAATTAAATCAATATTTTCTTAAAAGAATTATCTATGATAATTCTGATTTATCTATATAAATAATTAAATTAATATCTATATAAATAATTAAATAATTAAATTAATCATGTGTAGTATTATATATCCTACATATACTACATATGATTAATTTAATTATTTATATCTCAAAAATATAAATAATAATATCGTTAAAATATATTGTATTTTCTCGAATTCATTTTTCTATCAAATAAAGATTATAACTAATTAAAATAAAAATAAATTAATATATCTGAAAGATGATATATAGTGAGGTTTAAACGAAATCATAATCAAATTATTAACGAATCGAATATAAATAGTGATTTGCATAATTATGTAGATTTTTAAATTTCAATATATTTCGTAAAAATGTTTTACATTTCAATAAACGTGTTGCTAACAAACATTAACTAATCTCCAAAAAAATCTTAAAAAAAATTTTAATAAAAATCATTTTTATGACATAATTGTTCACCAAATAAATGATTCTTATCTATTTACTAAGACTTATTTTATTGTGCTATTTAAACTTTATTTGGAACATAAAATTATAAATATAAAATACGTCATCTTAAATTTTGATAAATATTATAAATTATCTGAAAAGGATTTTATAAACTTTCTACTATAAATTTATAAATTTTTGATGCTATATTATAAAATGAGAAATTGTTAAAATCAATAATGTTAAGTTACCTTTCTGGTATACTTGAACGACAAAAGATATTCTGTACTAAAACTATGTTGAAACTTCCTAAAATAATAAAGTAAAATGGTTAGTGCAATCAGGATCGTCACAAAGAGTTTTCAGAGAGCGAAGGATAAGATATGACTCTTTATATATTCATCATATCTCGGATATTAAGTGATTAATTATATTTTGTTATAC